TATCCGAAGTATGGACTATTCACAACCTTTTGTAATTGAGTATCTCGTATGTTGTCCACCTTTACCTTACTTACCTTAAAGTTTCGCATCACATCTTCTATCTCTTTCATGACCTCCCTTCCACATAGGTATCATTCACATCTACAATTTGAAGCTCTATTATATTACTTGCACCTCTGGTGCATACACAATCCAATGGGAGCTTCATACGTACTTCTTATGAGGCTGGTATTCTTCTAATTGGCTTTATTGTAGAGCTGTTATAGAATATGGTTGTTGTACTCTTGTACTTCTGATACTAAGAGTGATTCTGCAATGTTTTCAATCACGATCTCTATAATTTTCTAGGTCCAATAATCAGACTCCTGATTTACTTAGTTAATGTAACTCTTTAGTTTCCTCTTCCCTCTGACCAATATTTATGTAGGCTTAAGCTATCTTCCGATCTGCGGCTCATGGTATTAGTCATTACTTTAGCCTTTCATGGGCGCTATGGAATATCCATGATACAATCTCCTAACGATTCAATCCTTTGTTTATGACCTGGAATCGATTCTTTCTTTTAACTTATACCAGAGTCTTCTACGGCTGTATGATTTTCAACATATACGATGCATGGATAATACTCTGAAATCTTAAGTGCGTTCATAACGTAATTAACTTTGGATCATTGATCGAATAATTCCTTTCGTTCCTTCTCATCTTTCTTTAAAAGTAAGCTATTACTTTTCATGGTCTTTCTGCCCCATTATTGTGTGCATACAATATTGTAGTGAGAGTGTTGTTACAAGACCATTTCCTCTTTAGGTCACTATGCTTAGGTTGAAGCCTTCTTCCTTATTTCCTCAGCTAGTCTTTCATTGTAGTACTTAGGGAGGACCCTCTAACTCTTGTAAAGTTGCGAGCTCATTACATCGTATACTCGACGGAATTTTTGATGTCCTTCCTCGCCTATAATTATCCGTAGTTACTTACCTCCACGCCCTTGTGCTTGTAGGGTTGCTTCTGAACTGATATTTTGAATGTCTTCCTAGTGGCACTCTTTTTTTATTTTCGTAACACTCATACGGTACCTTTAACTACCCCAACTCCTATCTGAATATTTCTCAAGGGTCACGATATCATATCTACGAGACTGAATTCCCCATATTGGGGTTTACTATATTTATCTTGCACGATCTGTTGATTTGTCTGTATCCTCTTGTCTAGCCATAACTAGGCTCTTTTTGAATCAACTGCTAACTATTCATTGGCCCATTCTCATATCAATATTCCGTGTAATCTTTCTTGGGTTATTTTCTTTTTCTTAACTTACGTCTCGCACTGGCTCCTTATTTATCAATAACATCTCGGACAGGAACCCTTACTTCCTCTCCTTGACGTCTAGTTTGCATAATATTCTAAAATCGTAGCATATCTGTAGCATTTGGATAAGTGCCATCTCATCCATTTCTTATTTTTATCGCATTCTTCCTTTATCATTCCATAGTTACTAGAACCACTTAATTCTGACTTAATGCCACATCACTTTATATTCCCCCCTTTAGGGGAGTACTAAGATTTAGTGCTACGATGATCTACGTATAGATGTTTTACCTCTTCATCTTTGGCATCTTTTCACATCATCGATGACCCTTACTCGCCTTACGGTGATCCTTCTATACCAAGGATAACAAAATCCCTTACTCACAAGGGTGACACCTAGTGTAACTGGCGCACATAGTCCCTTAAGCTTAACTTTGCTCACACTGCTTGCTTGAGGGAAGCGTCTTCCTGAATGACCTTTAAAAGTTATTCTTCTGTCGTTCATTCTATTATCGCTGGAATGCAATCTCTGAATTTATCATGATGCCGACTATAATCAAATCACTCGGTCTATAATTCATGTTTAGTTTATCTTGTTCACCAGTCCATACTGATTTTCTATTGATCTGGGGTCTAACTTTTCCTTTTGGTAATCAGGTTAGAGTCACGAACTTGTTTGTCGAAATGAGGATATGACTTTATTGCTTATACTCTTTTGTTGTCTCAAGGCCTGTCACCTCTCATTTTGTTTTTCTTCCCTTGACTATAGACTCTCTAATACTGTCATTTTTTTTAATTTACCATTATCATCCATGTATCACATCTTACTCATAATGCTTCATTAGCTCTCTTCTTATTTCCCTGCTAACATTTCTGTTTATCACTTTATTCTGAAACTTTAACAAGACATTCTTTTGCTTTTAGCTCTCCTTGCTCCATCCCCTGGCTCTTCGGGTTGCCTAACATCCTCGCTCTACTAGGGACGCGGCCATACTAAGGTAATATTTAACCCTTCCAGGATTCCAGTGCCTATCTTTGTAGTACTCATATCTAGTTGTACTATTTTAGAATGCACCATCTGGGTGTCTCACAAGGAGATCCATTACCACATTTGCACTATCCTTCGGAAATGTCAACTAATACTAACAATTCATCCACCATTTTGGGTTACTCTAACCCCAGCCGGATAATGATATCCCGTCCTTCTCTTAAATTATATCTGTTAGCTCCCACAGGGAATAACTGAGATGGGTGTGGCCGATTGTACATACCTCTGTTACTATTGAGGGTAACTCAAAAGGCTTATATTTCTCTGCCTAAATTGTAAATGCTGATAATCTTCATTAACTGGGTGCCTCGTACCTTTCTTCACCTTGCTTCTTTTACTTGTTGAAACTTATATCTACCTTCTGAATCTCTCATTACTTTTCACCATATGGGTGGATAGATATTCTTACCTTAAGACTCCTTATCAAGAAGCTTACACGTCTTAGTACACACATGATATGCTGAACACCTTACATTTACTCATCATAAGCATCATGCGAAAATTGAGTTCCTCTGACCCAACTCTTCCACGGCCACAGTCAATCTCTTACCAGTTGTTTTTTGGATGTAGGTATCATCTTATTACGAATAAAATAGAATTTAGGAGTCTAAAGTCTTACAAGTGAGCTCTACCACACGATCTAGAGTAAGAAGAAAGAGTGACAGTCCTAAATGCCCTGTAGCCTCCTGCTTATAAGTGTGGTGCACAACACACCCACAAATAAGACCCTACTAGACACGGCTTGTAGACTCACTAGGACGGAACTGCTCTGATACGTATCTTTTCCTATCTTACTATTATAGGTAAATGAGCCGGAAAGGCTGTCGTGAGATAAGTAGAATAAAACATGAGGAAACACTCAACATTGGACGACCCAACATGTAATACAAACTTATACATATGACATACGGGCCTATAAGACCAAAATGATCGCTCGTACACTGAACATAGACCGACAAGACTATACAATCTTTCACATACATAACATATGTCTACAAGCCTCTAAGAGTAGATAAATACCATAAAGGTCGGGACAGGGTCCGGCCATACTAATCAATACATGACCAAATCATACTGACCAAATAAGCAACTCCGGAGTAAATTGAACGCACCAACATCTTCCGCTGAGCTGATAACCTACTTGGAGAACTCTCAACCTGTCTATCGGAACCTACGGGCATGAAACGCAGTATCCCCAGGTAAAAGGGACGTTAGTATAAATAATGTACTGAGTATGTAAGGAAATGAAAATCAGTAAATAAAAGACATAGAGAATCATGGAGTAAAAGACTCAACATGTAAGTCTGAATAGCTCTATTAATCATTTCATATTTATAATGTCATTGCATATGCATATAAATGTCATACCATGCATAGGTATATGTGTTCATAACAGCATCAAGCCTCTGAGGGCATCCCATCATATCATCTCGACCACTGTAGGCAAATCATCAACGTATACCAGTTGATCAGGTGGTGGTGCATATATAACGCCGTAACCTTTTCCCATATTTCATATACATATAACATACGCGTACATAACGCCATCTGATCATGGGTCAATGTACATGTATAAATGCATGAAATGCATAAGAAGTGCGTTAATAAAATTTCTCGAAATGTCATAAGATCAATATGCCTTTCGGATAACTTTATCAACTACATATTTTTCTGAGACCCATAAACAAAAGATATAATAATAAGACACATGGGGAATCAAGAATATAGATACCCCTAGTATTTCTATGAATAGAGTCATTTATAAAAGTTGCGTATTTTGCTCATTTTGTTTGTATCATTTGGATCATGCCAAAAGGAAATAAGGGATAGTCTTAATATACCTGAGTCGATTCTTTTGAAAATCCTTCCCACATCCGTCAAACGCGACAAAACATGTAACGGCGGATCGAAGTAGGGAAAAATTCGTATGATATTCTTGAGAAAGATTGTACTGTGCTCTCTTAGAATCGCAATTCTCATGTTGCTAATTAGTCTTGTATGATTTTTGTAGCAAATCATGTTGCTATCTTTTTAAATAAGTTTGTTGAAGCAATTTACATTGTATTGTAGAGATAATGTAATGAATTAAAGAGGTCTTTAACCTTTGGGTATGGGCCCCACTTTTGGGGATTATTTTATCCAAAATTCCCCTAAACATGCCACCTAATTATAAAGACCAAGGAATCGATGATGCTTAAGTCCCTTACTGCCACATTCCCATAGCCCCACGTGAATTGTTGTCCCCTTAATAATTATCCAAAATTCCACTTAAATAATTATCCATAAACTTCTAATTAATTTGTTAACTTTCTACTCAAAATAATAATTAACTAATTATCCACATAATTAAGAATTATCTCAAATTACTTAAAATTCTAATCACTTTTAACACACTTTATACACCTTACTATCATGGTCATGTGGTACCTTGTATGGCACAAGTTCATAAATACCGGGTATTATAGCTTAGACCGTATTTTATTTCAAAATGACAAACTTCGATCAAACTCATTTTCTTTGATTCGTTCACCCCCTCACCTTCACGAATTTACTTATCACTTGTTTGAAATAGCATAATACTTATAATCTCAAAATACTCATTCCCGAGTTTACGTCGATTAACTTATGACGAAACTTTAACGTACAAAAATGCGAGATGTAACATCTCATTTTCGAGCCTTCATCAATTTACTTATGGCGTACTCTCACGTATGAATATGAGGTATAACAGGATGACGCGAGTTCGGGGCATTAAATGCGGAGAAACGTGCGTCTAATCAACTGTCAGACACCTTCAGAAGGAATTATAGTAATTTTCGCCAAAAAGGTGTTTCTACCAACTTTTCGGTAACACAAAGTTATATCACTGGAAAGCATGGGGACTATCTGTATAGGGTAAAATATGATATGACGCGTGACTGACTAAAAGGAGGACACGTGGAATCCAAGATGGAAGGGCTGAGGACCGAACGCAGCCACTGCGCTTATCACCGGAACGGATAACGTTCATAAAAGTGTATTAAATGCTCTGCGACTGGTAGCATTTACTAAAGAATATTCTACAGTATTAAGAGCGACGGTCTGTTACAAAGAATTTGACATTTACGCTCAACGTTACATCTTCATCAATGACCCTCTTAATTGACATTAAAGGAGGGCAGGATCCTAGGACCTTCTTCCCTAGACATAGCTATATATAGTGAGCTCAGTTATTATTGTAAGGGATACGAAATTTCTGGGAAGAACATATACTATATTCTAGACAAAGCTTTATACAATTTCACTCTCTTACTTTTTGATCTCATCATTATTGTATTCGGAAACTGTGTTCACGGAATCACTGTCTTTGCTATTTCATCTACATTGCAAGGCTAAGTACTGCGTATTTCTTCGATTACTATATTATTTCAGGATCAAATTAGTTCACTTTTCTAGAAATCACGTATAAATTTAACTGTACCGTTTTACGGGTAAACAGTAGTTCTCGTAGCCATTTCCCGTACAACATTCAAGCAACATCATTTTCATCTGTTCAGTATTGCAGATGAATGAGGTATACATTTCAAACAATGCACTAGGCATAATCAATAACCTTCTGTTAGACATTCACAAATTCAGCAAATCGTTTAGGAATAAAAAAATAAAAAAATAAAAAAACTCTTGTGAAGTAATAACATTTAATTCCGAAAAGATTGCATACCTGCCTCTGCTATTTGTTGGAACTTCAGCTCAATCTTTGGCATTTGGTCTAGGTTATTTTCATCATTTCACTTCTATCTGCATATAAGTATGCAAGTTTCTATCCTTTGGATTTGGATTTGAAGTTGTCAAAATTAACTTCTCTGTTACAAGTTTAGTATGTGTAGCTCAAGCTTCATCCTTACCAATTTGTATCACCATGAACAAAAATGTGATCTTGAAAAAAAGAATTTCTCAACTATACAAGTTCAATTGTTGGGACCAGTATCTACACACGATTTTCTTCTCTTTCGAATTACATAGTATCCAATCCCTCCCGAAACAAGTAACACAACAACTCCATCAACCACTCCTACCACAATTGGAATCCATTTTTTCCAATGAGAATGTTCACTATGATCTTGATCAGTTCCCTTTGGTACCTTAACCATATAACTCAATCTTCCATCCCTTTCAATTTGTTTAACTCCTCTCACTAGTCCATACGAATAGCATTCTCCGGATTTTGTGGGATCATCCTCTGAATCATCAACTGAAAAATGTAATGCTGCAACACATGTACAATTATCCAAGCACAAATTTGCACATACTTCTTTGCTAACATTGACCTTATAAGGATTGCTTCTTAATACACTCGTAACGCCTTGTAACTCTAGCATTTGGGACTCATTTCTGCCGCATAATCCCTCAGTTACATTTTCAGCACAATCAGAAAGCAAACCATCTCCTCTTTTTATTAGCCTTATGCAAGAACACTCTTCTGAAAATGTACAAATACCATAAGGTCGACATGCCAAAGGAAGATCACAAGTTGTGTTTAGTGCTTGATATGAAGCTTCAAACTTTCCTTTGTCAACTGAGTAATAGTAAAATCCAAAGTTCCCTGTGTTATTCCCCAATGCTAAAAATCTTAGGGGCTCTGGCTTGTCCGATTTTATCCGTCCAATTCTATGGTTTTCGTTGTTGAATATCTCCAACGCGTTTGAAGTTAATTCAACATACGTAATATTCAGGTCATTCAATTCCAAAGGTGTGTATTCCCAGTACGAGTACTTCGATTTTCCAGAGTACAAGTACAATGCAATCTTGTCATACTGAATTTCAAATGAATATGACAAACTAGAGTTGCTAGGGAAAGAAGTTAACCGAGTTCTTGAGCTAAGTCTCTGGCCCCAAAGCATAATATTAGTTGGGAAATTGAAACTTTGCCATTTTATCAAGTTCAATGCATCAACTAAAACCAAATTACCTGACCCAAGTAAATGCAGCCTCTGCAGCAGAATCAAATATCAGAAACCAAATATTAGCATTCACTATTTAGTTTCACAATGGCAACTCACACTTTGACTCTTTTGTTGTTTAACCTCAAAAGACATACTTCTTCTTTTTCAATTTATACTCCAGTGATTGATTAGGCACGGAATTAGAAAACAAAAAAAGAAAGACTTTTAGAACATACCAAAAGGTTCTTTAGAACTTGTGGTTTTAAACATGACATTCTTATGACTTTAAGAGCATGTCACTAAGAGTAAGAGTGAAAGCTTTAAGAAAAAGAGTTTTCAAATATAGGAAGGTGTCATTTTTTCTTAAACATATTAAAGAAGAAGGAGCGTCGTATAAAATGGAACAAAGGGAGTAATAACTTAGTGGTTTAAAACTCTACGAATTACTCCATTAGTTTTTCTGCCTCAAAGTTGCAGAAGCAATGCTATTTTGAATAAGAAAAGGCAGTTGTTTGTTGCATATACAATTTAGTCAAAATCCATATAGTACTTATTTTTCTTTTGGACTAAAAACCAAAAAGAGGAAAACTTCAAATTCCGATAGAAGAGATTCATAATTACCTTCACACCTTGTCCAGAAGTCCCAGCTTTCCATCCAACTTTATCATCTTGACCTTTCAATTGTAAGTCTCCATATTGAGTCAGCTCAAGTGCACATTTGTCTATTGTGTAAAATAGTGATAAATGACCAGAACTCCAAACCTTCACATCTCCCAAAAAAACATCAAGCGAACATGTGTATTTCTCATTAATTGCTTCAACACTGATTGCTGCTCTAAAGTTTGGTGTCATTTGGTTGTCAGTTTCCATTAAAAAAGCCCTCCCTATGAAGCCTTTACTATATGTTGTTGGTATAGCAAGACTTACTTGGTACCCAATGTGAACATTGGAAGTGCAATAGCCATGAGCTAACCAGTAAATGAAAAAAACAAGCACATAGATTTTCATGTGTGGAATGTCACTATATGTTTTTCACATCAGGTATGTTTTCTTCTGCTGATAGGTATTGTTATTAGGTTTCTTTGTTTGAAAAGTATAAACAAGATGAAAGGTGAAAAAAAGGTTTGGCAAGGTTATAATATCATAGAATTAGTACTGTCACCCCACTCCTTAAGAAAGTGGCTTAACTTTCAAGTGAAAATCCTTTATACATATATTTCTCCATTTTTTTTCTTTCTCTTGTGAGCCAAAATATTACTCTCTTTTCTACTTGATGATGTTATTTGACTCGATACCGTTTAAGAAAGAAAGGTTTTCGGCACATACCAAAAGTACCATTAGAGTTTGATGTCTTTAACACTTTATGGCATTTCTATAGTTATAAAAGGAAATTGTTAAAGGTTAACATTAAAAAATATTCAAATACAAATAATGTGTTATTCCTTTTTAAACCGACTAAAAATAAAATAGTGTTACAGAATATGGAATGGAGAGTACCTGAAAGGTATTATAGACAGAAGGATTACATTTAACTGTAGTGGTTTTGTGGTTAGCGTTGTACCAACACTCATAATTTATAAAAGAAAGCTCTTTTGAAATCCTCCACTGCACAAAGAAAAACTTCTTAAAGTACATGTTACTGCATTAAGACCAGAGTTGTTAGAAAATTGTTGAAGGCAAATTAGCTGTCAAAAAAGGTTAATCCTTATTTTATAGTAATTGATTAAGCAGTGAATGTTTGTACTAAAATGAGACACCATTCAGTATATCTGGGGCCTGGGCAGGTAGTAATGGATTGTGAAAGGGACCCATAATTCCCCCCTTGTTTTCTTGGATTACTTTTTGGTTTGTGCCTTTTGGCATGCCACCCTTTTGAGTGTTTTTTATTTTATTTTTTTATTTTTTTGAGTGAGATCAAGGTCTGTTGATGCCACATGGGGGTCAATTGTGAATTATACTTTCATGCCCACAATCTTTGCTGACGATTTTGTGGCGTGATACTGACATAAATCTCCGAAAATTCAAAAAACAAAAAGAGGAAATTTCAAGAAAAGGAATTAGAAACTTTACTTTGCAACATGGAATCGCACTTAAGGTATAAATTAAAAAAGTGGATCAAACTGTCACTTTCGAAACCAATCTCACCAAAATTTCTCACGTCTTCTAATTTTCCCTACGGGCCACTCCATCTCAAGAAAAGTTCAAAAAGAAAAAATTAATTCAGTGGAGTGATGGGAAAACCTTTACAAAGTTTGTTTCACTTTATATGCATAAAAAACGATCAAGTGAACTGGATAAGCGGATACAAGGACAAATTCATTATTCATCAACTCAAGGCCGGCTGATGGGTCAAGCAGGTAAGGCCATGGCTTTAGGCCCCCAATTCTGGGGCCCCATTTTCTAAATTATATTTTCTATGATTGATTTTCTTTCAAAAATATTGAATAATATAAGGTAAAAAGTATAAAATACTTATAGAAGATGAATAGATAACTATTTACTCAAGGATTGAAAATGAATGTTGGTCAATTTACAGTATGACATTAATATTGTCTTCTCCTTTTTTTCATAATAAAACTTGTATTTTTTTTTTATTTTTTTCTCCTACAAAGCTATTTATTCTCTCAAAAATAAGAACATTGAATAAATTAAATTGTACATTCATTGTCATTACTATTTCTCAAGTTTTCAAGCACGCACAATAACAATCAAAATTAACTAAAGCAGTGAAACTTTGCTTGGATTTTTTGTGTGTTTTCACTTCATAGATGTAATATTTTTTCATTAAAAATTAGAATTTAAATATGTTAGTATGAATAAGGTTACTCGACTTAAAAAAGATTATTATTGGAACTTTAATACTTTCATGGGTGGTCAAAAAAGATTAGATATGTTATTTATATTGTCAAATAGTAAAGAACGATTAAAATAAATTATACACATATCATTAATAATTTTACATCTCAAAAAATTAGATAAAACAGAATTAAAATAAAAATATGTTTGAACTTTTGGTTAAAAGCTTAAGGGCTCTTAATAAAGTCATAACTTTTCTTGAGCCACCCATGCACCAACTTTCATATCATAAGGTATTTGCCTCGAAAACTTCTCGGTTAGTAAGAAGAAGTGTGTTGGGTTTTTTTATCTAATTAGATAAAGAGGTGTGAATGGGAAATAGAGGGATGAGATTAGGAGGAAAACGAAAAATTTGAAATAGTTTCCTATACTAATGCACTTTGTCCCTCATTGGAAGAAGGAAAGAAAATCTGTGTGCTTATATAGAGAAGCACATCTTCTAACTCTTAAAGAGTTAAGAAGAACTGGTGCCTCACGCCGCCGTCGTCGTCGCTCGCTTGGCTTCGGTCGATTGATTGATAATTTTTTGGACCAAATTTATTTTCCGTTTTTCTTTCCTGATATTTTCGCGCGGATTTTGTTTCGCGGATAATTTTCTAACGATTAACGGTCATTTTTTGAATTCGCGATCAAACAGAAAATTATTTCTGCCGAAACAGTACCTCATGTGAACAGGTACCTTTCGCACCTATTCAACCCAGACTATTTGGCTATAAATTCAAAGATTTGGTCTATTGAAAAATCTAAGCGACCTCGAGAAGAAGAAAAGAAAAGTGCGTTTAATGAGGAAACTCCAAGATGTAGTAAACGTCAAAGGACAACTACTTTTTTTGGAGCAGAATTTCTGATATTTTTGTTAGAAAATGAGCCTCAAACGTTTAAAGAAGCAATGTCTTCCTCGGAAGCACAATATTGGAAAGAGGTAGTCAATAGTGAGATAGAATCCATATTAAGTAATCATACCTGGAAATTGGTTGATCTTCCTCCAGGAAATAAACCTTTGGGTTCTAAGTAGATTTTCAAAAGGAAAATAAAAGCTGATAGTACTATTGACAAATATAAGGCAAGATTAGTTGTCAAAGGGTTTAGACAACGAGAAGGTCTTGATTATTTTGATACATACTCGCCAGTAACGAGGATTACATCTATTAGGGTGTTAATAGCATTATAGCCGCCATGTATGATCTTGAAATCTATCAGATGAATATAAAGACAGCATTCTTAAATGAAGACTTGGAGGAAAAAATTTATATGGAACAACCTGAAGGGTTCATGGTTCCCGGAAAAGAAAAGAAGGTGTACCGACTTGTTAAGTCACTTTACCGATTGAAATAAGCACCCAAACAATGGCATGCGAATTTTGACCAAACAATGTTGACAAATGGATTTAAGATTAATGAGTGTGATAAATGTGTTTACATTAAAAACACTCCAAATTATATAGTCATTGTATGTTTATATGCTGATGACATGTTAATAATGAGCAAAGACATTGCAGATATAAATGCTACTAAGCGTATGCTTGCTAGCAAGTTTGATATGAAAGATTTAGGAGTTGCTGAGTTAATTCTAGGAATTAAAATTCATAGGTCTCCTCAAGGATTGGCATTGTCTCAATCTTATTATGTTAAAATGATACTTGAAAAATTCAAGTATCTAGATTTCAAAGTCGCAAAGACCCCGATTGATATAAATGTGGCTCTTACAAAGAATCTAGGTCAAAGCAGATCTCAACTGGATTATGCTAGTGTGTTGAAAAGTTTAATGTACACCATGAATTATACACGTCCTGATATAGCTTGTGCAGTAAGTAAACTGAGTCGTTACACAAGTAATCCCGACCAAACTCATTTGATGGCAATGAAACGAGTTTTGGGGTATCTAAGGCATACCCAAGATTATGCTTTGCATTACAGTAAGTATCCTGCGGTAATTGAAGGATATAATGATGCAAATTGGATCATTGGGTCATCAGAAACAAAGTCCACAAGTGGATATGTTTTTACAATTGGTGGAGGAGCAGTTTCTTGAAAATCATCCAAACAAATATGCATTGCTCGCTCTACAATGGAGTCTGAGTTTATAGCTTTAGATAAGGCTGAAGAAGAAGCTGAATGGCTCCGAAATTTCTTGGAAGATATTCTGTTTTGGCCCAAACCAGTGGCTCCTATATGCATACATTGCGATAGTCAAGCAACAATAGGAAGGGCTGGAAGCGTTATGTATAATGGAAAATCTCGTCACATATGACGAAAACATAATACCGTTAGACAACTACTCTCTAGTGAAATTATCATAATTGACTACGTAAAGTCAAAAGATAATGTGTCAGATTCACTTACAAAAGGCCTAAATAGAGAGGCGGTTGATAAATCATTGAAGGGAATGGGACTATGGCCGAGGACAAGTCACGGTGGCGGTAACTCTACCTAGAAGATTGGAGATCCCAAGATCTAGGTTCAAGGAGATCAAACAAAGTCATTAGTGACGGTTCAACATTGTCAAAAGTTTGGTCTATTCTCGTGATGAGACAATGTTCAGCACCAAGGATAAAGCGTTAAGGCTTTTTAATGGTTTCTAAGTTTGATACGGAGTATATCAAATAGTGTATCTATGGGATAACACGTTTAAGAATTACCTATATAAATGCGAAGTGTAAGCCACTTCAAGGAGAATTCTGTAAGGCCAGTTCTCTATACACTTATGAACCAGGCGGTGTTAATGGCTGAAACGAACACAACAATGAGAATCAAAGGCGGTTAAAGGGTTGATTGTGTGACTTATGGCTGTCTAGGTATACACCAAAGTTCAATGGTTCAAAGATATCAAATCTACCGATTGACCGAGTATATCCGACATAAGTTCACTATGGAAAGTTTAAAGGAAACCTACTTATCCAGATGCAATTAATCATTGCTTGTAAAGACAGAATTTTTCATGCATGCATATTTTCAGATAGTCATTCCCCATTCATATGGGGGATTATTGGTTTTTTTTTTATCTAATTAGATAAAGAAGTGTGAATGGGAAATGGAGGAAAAAGATTAGGAGGGAAACGAAAAGTTTGAAATAGTTTCCTTTACTAATGCACTTTGTCCCTCATTGGAAGAAGGAAAGAAAATTTTTGTGCTTATATAGAGAAGAACATCTTCTACCTCTTAAAAAGGTAAGAAGAACTGGTGCCCCGCGCCGTCGTCGTCGCTCGCTCGCTCGGCTTCGGCTTTGACTTCGGCTTCGGCTTCGGTCAATTGATATGATTGATTGATAATTTTTTGGACCAAATTTATTTCCTGTTTTACTTTCCTGATATGAGCGGATTTTGTTTCGCGGATAATTTCCTAACGACTAACGGTCGTTGTTTGAATTCGCGATCAAACAGAAAAGTATTTCTGCCGAAACAGTACCTCATGTGATCAGGTACTTTCGTACCTATTCAACCCAGTCTATTTGGCTATAAATTCAAAGGTTTGGTCTCACTTCCTGACCGCCAAAAATTTGCATACTCTCCCCTCTCTCTTTTGCATTTCTGCATTTGTTTTCCAAAAGCAAAAACGTAAGCATCAGTGTGGTTTACTACCGTTTGTTGAGTTCGACGAAGTTCTGTAATTTTCATTGCCGGTATTACAAAATAGTTGCTCCGTTTTATCCTGTGAGGAATTAATTCAACAACCTTGGGCAATAGTGAGGGGATTAAATTCCTTAAGGAAACACAGTTTTCTGTTGGGCTCGGAACGTTATTCATTTCATTCTATTTCTGTCTTTGGTTTCTGGTTTCATTTTATTTTGCAGAAATTATACTTT